GAGAGAGAGAGAGAAAGAGACCTCATTTTATCGACCGATTATAATTGACACTCGGGAGAATATTAAAAGTCAATACTTGACGCCCGTCGTTCTAGGATTAATTTCACTGCCTAATCCTCTGTAACTAAGAGGGAGCTAAGGAGATAACAAGAAGGTCGGAGGTCCAAGGTGGCGGAATCCGCGAAGGCAAATGGGCGAATTAAGCTGTAACGAGGCGTCCTTACCTCCTTCGGTCTCGTGCCAAACGATGCCCTCGAGGGTGACGGAGGTGCCGGGCTCACAGGGCCCCAAACACTCCGGTTCGGTAATGGTCCCCACGCTGGTCCCAACGCACACGTCGGACATGTCCTGTAACATAAAGTTCGATGAACGGTGAGCCACGATCCGTCACGTGCAGGTGCAACATACGGAATCAATAAATATCGCGCCCCGTCAGTTTCGTCAGCGTGAGATGAAAATCGTGCGAAACAATCTCTAATGAAAACATATATTATTTCATACACGAATAAGAAGATAAGTCGCCGTTGTAATAAGAATTAGTCGTAGAACATCGACTAATACAAGCGTGAGAGACAGCGCGTATCGTTTGTAATTAGATTGAGATAGCCTCGTACATCCAGGAACTTGTCTATTCTAATTACAAAGCGGTTCTCGTAACGCTCGGGGACTCGCATTCTAACTAACACCACAGTCTCCCTAAGTCCATCAACGAGAGAGTGGATCAAAAGCGATAACATGACTGGAGCGACGAGGAGAGAACGGTCGCTAACTTGCGATCCGCCAGATTCCGTGGAGTGCGGCGCGCGCGGACCTCGTGGCGAATGCATGAAACTAATGTTTAATAAACGTCTGGTTCGAGGGGGAAACGTTCGAACATTTCCATTTGGCTCCGCCGTGTCCGTTTTACGTCGCACGTATATACGTTTAATTTCAACTCGTCCACTCTTCACAGCCGCATGCAAAACACGAAGCGAAATCCGAAACGCGCGAAAACAGGAAAATATACATATTTTTCCAGTCGGAACATTTACCTCGCGCTGTATTTCGCCGGCGTTGTAATACACGACCGGGCGACGATCCCGACGAGGTGTTAACGAGTCATCGGTACGTTATCTCTCCGGCTTTCCAAAAATATCGGTCGGGGGCTGTCGCGAAATAACGCCGTCGCTGCCGCCGCGCGGCCACGGGAGGAGAGAGAGTATCGCTCTTCGCGTTCATTTCGGAAATCGATGTAATCCGGCCGCGCTGCGCCGGACGCGCGCGCGCGCGCGCGCGCGGAAAATGCATCCCGGGCCGGTGTGGTCGAGTGGCCTCGAGGCGCGCGACGAAACGCAGCCGAGGATATAAAAGCAATTGGAGGAGGCCCAATTAAAGCGTCCGGTCGCACCGCGCGCTGTTTATGGAAATATCGGCCGGCCGATATTTCGCCGTGCCGGACGGCCGGAAACGCGGAAACATTCCGCCCGCTATCGACACATCACGTTTACGGCCGGGCCCTGCCAAATAGTAAACCGCGACCCGGCGAGAGAGAACCGGGGTCGCGGGGAGGGGGGAGGGGTTGATTTTCGCGTAACGTGTCGCACACCTATCGTGTCGCGCGTCGCTGGAAATTGACGAACACGTCATTCCCCGCTTCGGATATACAGAGTACGCGGCGCTATCGATTCTGATTTACACCCCGCGGGCCAGAACCGTATTTCACGGGATCTCGGCTGCGTGATAAAATTTCCTACACCCCTCTCCCCCCCGACTTCAATCGTTCCATTACCAATATTTTCGTCTGCGTTAAACATGTCTCTCTCTCTCCTTTTTATATGTGGCACATCGATACGTCGTAAACGTCTCGTTATCGCGATACCAGGCGGTAAATTCAATTTAGATCTGACGTTTCTTTCTACCGTATTACTTTTAATAATTGCTAATACTATTAGCATAAACACTCCGCTTTTTCGCCGTTCTATTAAGCGCTATTGTTTCATTATTACACGCGATATACGTTTTCATATGTATAGCACGTACTTAAGCACATAAATATGGCATAATATGAAAACGCAACCGTAAGCCGGCTTATTGCGGGTTTAAAAGCAATTAGCGAGATGTCTGCCGAATGAATGTGCTCTGCCGGTCGCGGTAATTTTCGCGGCTCGATGCAAACAAATTTCCATTTCGGAAAACAAAATCGCCGCGCGGCCGGGGCTTTGAGAGCAATTAGTAATGCCGCGCATAATTAACGCGCTAATTAGCAACGCAATTTTGGATAACGCGCACATAACTTTTTCGCATGTCGAAATATCGGCATCGCGGCTTCACCGCGAATTTTTCATTTATCTACCCTGGGGAATTTAAATGTCGCCGATGTCACGATATATTCGCGTTGTTCGATATTAATATCTGCTTTTGCGGAACAAATTTTCAAACAATGTACAGAGCCATATGTCCGCTTGAGAGCTCTGTTATATCCGAGAGCATCTTTCTCTCTCTCTCTCTC